GCTCTGGGCAGAGCGCATAGACCCAGGGCTACCCTGACCCCTCTGTTGATGTCAGTCATGACTTAGCTTAGCCAGAGGGAGGGGCAATGTGCTAAACCCTGACTAACCAAACTCAGGTCTCACCCAAAACTCAGCCACCTCCAACCTTGGAGCAAAGAAGTAAGTACCTTTCCAATAAGGCAAAAACTTCCAGCAGCTAGCTAAACACACTCATGTTTTATACATAGTAACAAGGATGGCATTAAGGAGAACATTAAGAGTGAACAGATTTCCCCAAAGATATTAACATTGAGCTTGGGACAGTATCTTAGCGGTGCATCCTCTGAGAAAGAAGCCTGGACACATAGGTGAGAGCCATGTCCCTTTCCCCATCAGTGAGTTTGGGAGCTGAAGTAGCACTTTTCTGCAAATTGTACTTAGCAGACTATAACTCCAAAGGGTCACCAGACACCACGGTATTTAAGAAGGGCTAATTTGTTAAGGCAGGAGATATGGTGGCCTAGTGGGTTAGGAATTGTGCTGCCAACCCAAAGGTATATAGTTTGAATCCACTGGCTGTTCCAAGGAAGAAAGATGGGAAATATCTTCTAGTACAATTTACAGCCTTTGAAAAATCCACTAAAGGGTCAGCTATGAGTCAGTTCTGACTCAACAGCAATGAGATGGACTGAGTTGAATTCACTGAATTGAGTTGTGAGGATTTTTGTTTTCTTGATGTTGAGTTGAAATTCATACTGAAGGCTGTTGTCTTTGATATTGAGCAGTAAGTGCTGCAAGTCTACTTTATACAAGCAAGTTTATATTATAACCTTGTTATTGATGAGTTCTCTTCCAATCCTGATACCATATTCTTCTTCATAAAGTCTAACTTCTTAAATTGTTTTCTCAACATACAGATGGCATATGTATGGAGAAAGGATACATCCCTGACACATAGCTTTCCTGACTTTAAATCATGCAGTGTCACCCTTGTTCAGTTGAAACAACTTCTTCTGATCTATATGTAGATTTAACATGAGCACAATTATATATTTTTTTCTGGGATTCTTATTTTTCTCGATGTTAGCCATAATTTGTAAGGATCCACACAATCAAATGCCTTTTCATAGTCAATAAAACACAGACAAACATCTTTATGGGAGTCTCTACTTTCAGCCAGGATCCATCTGACACCAGTAATGACATGCCTTCTTCCACAGGCTCTTCTGAATCCATGTTGAACTACTGGAAGCTTTCTGTCAATGTACCTTTCCAGCCATTTTTTAATAATCTTTGACAGGATTTTACCTCTGCGTGGTATTAATGACAGTTTGATAATTCCCACATTCTGAAGGATAACCATTAAAAAAAATAGAAACAAATATGGATCTCTTCCAGTTGGTTAAACAGTCTTCCAAATCTCTTGGCACAGACTAGTGAGCACACCCAGAGCTGCATTCATTTATTGAAACATCTGAAATAGTATGCCATAAATTCCTGAGGCCTTCTATTTTGCCAAATCAGCACAGCTTGGACTTCTTCCATCAGTGTCATTGGTCCTTTATCGTATTCTGTTTCCAGAAATGGCTCAGTGTAGACCAAATTTTGTAAAATGGTGTTACATAGTCCTTCCATCTTTTCTTATTTTTCCCTAATATTGGTATACTTACAAAGTTAATATACATTTTATTACACACTATTCTTCATTCATATTGTATTTCATACAATCATTCTCATGCATTGTTGTTGTTTATTGTTATGTGCCATCAAGTTGCTTGCGACTCACAGTGACCCTATGTACAACAGCCCTAAACTCTGCTCTGTCCTGTGCCAATCGCACTGTCTCTAACACTCCAATCCCGATTACCCCAGTCACTGAATCAATCACCTCATAGAGGGCCTTCCTCTCCTGCGCTGTCCCTCCACCCTCCCAAGCTTGATGTCCCTCTCCAAGGACTGGTCTCTCCTCACAACATGTCTAAAGTATGTTAGACGGAGCCTCAGAATCCTTGCCTCCAAGGA